AAAGATGTGTCTTCAAAGAGAGAGCGGCTTTAACTTACAACTGTGAATTGCTTAAAGAGAAAAGAATTAATAAATGCTGAATTACTGTGATGATTATTTAGCACATAATTCACCTATTCATAACGACTCCTAGTAATCAGACTGTTGTTTCACATTCTCCAATATGAGGCAAGACTGTTTCCTCAGCAATTTTGCCCTGATCAGATTATCTCGTCTGATTCTATTAATTTTCTTCCATGAATCTGCTAACCGTGATTTCTGATTTACTTACCCTGCTAACTAAAGACTGTTAAAAGGATTTATCTAACATTCAACCCAAGAACAGTATATGCCTTATCATTCAGTGACTCTGAACAACTCTTTCCTCAAATCAATTTAGTTGGTTTCATAGGAAAATTTAGTGAACTCTGGTTTAGTTCTGCATCGTAAAATCGGCTCACAGATAAACGAGTTCAGACACTGCACTTGATGCATCTTGTTCTTTTCAGATTATATATGTCTGACTCCAACATGATATACCTGAGTTGGTGTAACTCACAATCAGGAAAAATACATTCTTTTTAGCTCTTAATCATTGTAATCTGGACATGAACTTTTTTTTTCTTTTTGCATGAAGTCATTTTGTATGTACTGACATGAAACTATAATTGTGTTTTTGATGTCAGGTTTCACAACCTTCTGCATGATTTGACCCATGTCCTCCTCACCCTCCCCCCCCCAAATCTTCTATAAATATTCTCTGCTTTCAGAAACTTTAATGCTTCTGGTTTGAATTGGTCAATAATGACAAATGCATGGTTTCTAAATTACTCTATATTGTTCTACAGAGATTACTAGAGTATATATAGCAAGGGGATATTAAGCAGTAAGAAAACACAGTTCATATTGTATTTGGATTAGATTGGCTTGGAGCAAAGTGTGGAACAAACCATGTTAGCAAAGAAGTCTAAAGAAATGTGGCCTGCTGTAATTGTGGAGAATCAAAACCTGAATAGTACTAATTAAAATGAGAGAGCTCAATTGTTATAAAAGAAACACTCTTAACAGAGGACTGTAAATGTTTAGACACCCCTGTGAATCACTAAATAATAAAGTAAAAAGGACAGAAATGAGAATTAAGTGATAAGCCTGAGAGCATTATTCCTACACATCTAAAAAAACGCCAGATCCTCTTTTTTTTTTTTTTAAGAGAAAATGGGAGCCTATAAAAGACTGCAATGAGAAAAATACCACCGCTCGACAGCAGTGTACAAAAATACACCAAAAAAAAAAAAAAAGTGCAGTTAATAATACACTGAGCTTCCCAAACATGGGCATTTAATTTCTAGAAATGATATATAATTGCAACAATTAGGTGCATGACCATGAATCTATATAGCATGGTCTTTACTGTTAGCAAATTTCGTTCATAAATGTAGTTTAGAAATGTAGCAATTTCAGTGTTGCCGGCCAAAAATATTTCCATGAGGGGCAGGGGTCATATCATCAAGGTTTTAACAACAAAGTGATGCAAAAGGATAAAAGAACTGCCATCATGAATTAAAAAATGAATTCTTCCTAAATACACTTAAATTCATATTTTACATTACAAACAAACTTAAGACATTTGTGGCTAATGATAATAAAAAGCTTAGAAAACTATTACCGTGGACAATGCTAAATGACATAATATGTTTACGTAATTTACACATGGCTTTTCCTCTGGATATAGACACTGTAATCCCTAATTTCATTATTAGGTAAAATATTGTTTAAGAGGATGAAAGCAAGGGGATTCTGTTAAGTTGCATAAATATTGACATAATTGTCACACTTTCTTCCCTGCACTGGTAATAGACATAATTCATTCCACCCCAACGAAGTACTCTCATAAAACCAAAACTACCCTTATAAAGAGCTTCTCTGCAGTAATGATGAAAAGAAAAAGTGCTGTTCTGGAAAGTACCAACAGTGCTGATCTTTTAGGGTTATGATGTGCCTGCAAACCTTTTGGGTAGGTCTCTCTCATTAGGAAGGCCAGGTTTGCTGAACCTGAAGAAATGCCAGTATCAAAGAAATTAACACAAATCTAATCTGCTGTATGAAGCCAATGACTGACACCTCAGGTCTCCTTATAAATAGTAAAGTATGCCGGGGGTGGGTGAGAGTGTCCTGAAGTGCAGTGTTCAAGAAGCTGGCTTAATATATGACTAAGTGTCAGAAGTCAGGTTTTCTGAGAATTACTTTTCAGATAAACAACTTTATAGCACTGCACTTAATCTTACTTACTAGAGACATCTCATTTATCACTGAATTACAAGTAACTTTAATTCTATTGATATTGCCATAAAGCTCGTTGAAAATCCATCCTGGTACTTTTTTAAGGGCCTGGGGCCCTGTTCCATGGGATCCACTTGCAAAAATCTGTCAGAATTACAAGCTAAGGCAGAGTGTCCCCTGGCTTCTGTTGACAAATGGGGCAGTGCGGACAAAATTACTCCCGCACCTGCCTGCACTATTTCCAGCCCCCCTGTCCTACAAGGTCGGGTTTTCTCACTGAAGTCAGACTAACTTTCTGTGCCTTTTTTCCTCCTCCCACCTTGGGAAACCAGCTTCTTTTCACTTTGTCACAAAATTGGACACGGATCCATTTCAACTGACCTTTGCCGAAAGGTGGCGCTGTTGAGGTAAAAACCAACTCGGTCCAACAATAGTTTTCACTCTTCGATCCAGTTGCAGGCTTTTCAGAATTTTTTTTTTAAATGCACCCTCCTATCATCTCCCCCTCCCATAAAGTAAAATAAATATAATTAACACCAAATGCGTTTCATGAAGTAGAGGAATCAACAGTCCAACATCCAAGCAGGCAGTCTCGTGTTCCAGATGCTGGGTCGGCTTCGCTCTTGCTGTTCCCCAAATCAATCTCGGCTTCTCCGACTCGCCTATCGCTTTAAAATCTTAGAAACAGTTGTCTGTCCTTTCTTTTTTCTTTTCTTTTCCTTCATTTTTCTTTTTCTTTTTCTTCTTTTTTTTTTTTTTTTTTTGCATAAGCTTTAAACAAACCGATCTGGAAAATCGAATAGTTATTAGCATCTGCAACAGGGAGGGGGAGAAACAACCCCCCCACCCCCCACCCCACCCCCACTCTGGGTTTCCGGGCTTGTCCGAGAAACCGCAGATTAAAATTTAACCCTTCGAGGGGAGCTGGGTGTTGTTTTCCCCCCTTGTTCCTTGCCATCATCGAATGTGAAATAATTAAGTGAAATGTAAAAGTGCGCAGTGCGCGCGGGACCCTGATAAACAGGGGTCAGATTTCCTAAGAGGGTGCGCGCGCGGGTGTGTATGTGTGTGTGTGTGTGTGTGTGTGTGTGAGAGAGAGAGAGAGAGAGAGAGAGAGAGAGAGAGAGAGAGAGAGAGAGAGAGAGAGACTCTCAAAAGCCAAACTTGGGCCGGAGTCGGAAGCTTTCCCGGAGTTAACTAGCTTAGGCGGTTGCTCCCTCAAGGGCACACCAAGCCAACGGGCAGCTAGTCCCGGCGCGGAATGGCCCCTGAACAACTGATTTCACCTCCTTTATAAGACGGTGATAAAACGGGCTTTTTCTCCCGGCGGACTCCAAGCCGTGCGTCCTTTCTGCCCCCCACCTTGCCGGCGCGCGGCTGGGCGGCCTCGAGCGCGCGGCAGGACCCCTGCACCTCCCTGCGCGCGGGCCCCGGGGAGGGGGACAAAGAGTTGGGCCAAGTTTTAGCCCCAGCCCAGCCAGGCTCGGGGAAGGACGGGACCCCCTGGCAGACACCTGGGTACCAGAAGTGGGGCGAGGAGGGAAAACTGCCAAGCGGATTCACAGTCCAGGGCAAAAGTGAGCGAGCAGGGGAAGGGAGTCAGGCCGGTCCCAGCGGTGAGTGGCGGGCGAGCCGGGGCTCCGGCGGGCAGGCAGGCCCCTCTCGCGCTGCGAAGGGGAGCGAACCTTCCTCCCGGTCCTCCCAGGTGCCCGTGGCCCTTCTGGAAAAGTCCTTCCCCTCTTGCGGCAAACTTTGCGCCAGGCTTTGCTCCTTCGAGGGAGGCTGCGGCGCCGGAAGGGTTAAGCCAGCCCGTCCCAGCTGACAGTCAGCTGATTGGGCCCTGATTGACAGCTCGGAAAAGTTTCCTTGTTTCTATACTATTATGCTAATCGCGGCAGCTCTCGGCGCCTCCCATTGGTCCCGAGTACCAGTCAATTTCCCATTTGGACCTGACGTCACAAGTGCTTATAAAACTCAGCAATTGCTTTAAACTCTTCTTGCTGGATCAGAGGCTTTAAAATCTTTTTTCATCTTCGAGCTGTAGCTCGGGCTGCTCGTCGGCTCGGTCTCCCCCTTTTGCTTTCTGCCTCGCCTTTTCCCCAGGACTTTGCTATTTTGCTTTAAAAAAAAAAAAAAAAAAAAAAGGCAAGAAAGAACTCAACTCCCCCCTCCCTGGTCTCCAGCCGGGCTGCACCTCTGCCTTGCACTTTGCACGGAGGAAAGAGCGCGCCAGGGAGAGAGAAAGCGGAAAGAAAAAAAAAAATTAATAATAATAAAAAGAGCCAGGCAGAAGAGGAGGCGAGAAGCATGAAGTGTTAACTGCCCCGGGCCAAGGCCCGCGCCTCCCGGACAGCCCGCCGCCCGCCGCGGCTCGGCTCGGGCCCGGAGCGAAGCGACCGCCGCGCGCGCCCCGCCTGCAGCCCGGCCGGCTCGGCGCGCCCTCCTTATGCCAAGCGCGCAGCGGAGCGCCGAGCGGGGGACGCCGCGCACCGGGCCGGGCGCCTCCGGCTGCTGCTGCTTCGCCGCCGCCGCACCCCGCGGAGGACCTTCCCGAGCCTGAAGCCGCCGGCTCCGCGCGCCAGGAGGCGAGCAGGCGAGGAGGGGCCGGGGCGAGCGAGCGAGCGAGCGAGCAGCGAGCAGCGCCCGAGCACATTGGCGTGAGCGGGGGGAGGGAGGGCGGGCGCGGGGGGCGCGGGCAGGGCGGGGGGTGTGAGCGCTCGGAGGCTTCGGCCAGCCGCCGCCGCGCGAGCTAGAAGCGCCCCAGCCCGGCAAGCTGGCTCACCCGCTGGCCACCCAGCCCAGCCCGCTGGCCCCTCTCCTGCAGCCCCTCTGGCGGAGCGGCGGCGGCGGCGGCCGGAGGATGGCATCAGAACTGGCGATGAGCAACTCCGACCTGCCCACCAGTCCCCTGGCCATGGAATATGTTAATGACTTCGATCTGATGAAGTTTGAAGTGAAAAAGGAGCCGGTGGAGACCGACCGCATCATCAGCCAGTGCGGCCGTCTCATCGCCGGGGGCTCGCTGTCGTCCACCCCCATGAGCACGCCGTGCAGCTCGGTGCCCCCGTCCCCCAGCTTCTCGGCGCCCAGCCCGGGCTCGGGCAGCGAGCAGAAGGCGCACCTGGAAGACTACTACTGGATGACCGGCTACCCGCAGCAGCTCAACCCCGAGGCGCTGGGCTTCAGCCCCGAGGACGCGGTCGAGGCGCTCATCAGCAGCAGCCACCAGCTCCAGGGCGGCTTCGATGGCTACGCGCGCGGGGCGCCGCCGCTGGGCTCGGCGGCCGGGGCCGGCGCGGGCGCGCCCCTGGGCGGCGGCGGCGAGGAGATGGGCCCCGCCGCCGCCGTGGTGTCCGCCGTGATCGCCGCGGCCGCCGCGCAGAGCGGCGCGGGCCCGCACTACCACCACCACCACCACCACCACGCCGCCGGCCACCACCACCACCCGACGGCCGGGGCGCCCGGGGCCGCGGGCGGCGCGGCGGCGGCGGCCGGGGGCGCGGGGGGCGCGGGCGGCGGCGGCCCGGCCAGCGCCGGGGGCGGCGGCGGCGGCGGCGGCGGCGGCGGCGGCGGCGGGGGCGCGGCGGGGGCGGGGGGCGCCCTGCACCCCCACCACGCCGCGGGCGGCCTGCACTTCGACGACCGCTTCTCCGACGAGCAGCTGGTGACCATGTCGGTGCGCGAGCTGAACCGGCAGCTGCGCGGGGTCAGCAAGGAGGAGGTGATCCGGCTGAAGCAGAAGAGGCGGACCCTGAAAAACCGCGGCTATGCCCAGTCCTGCCGCTTCAAGAGGGTGCAGCAGAGACACGTCCTGGAGTCGGAGAAGAACCAGCTGCTGCAGCAGGTCGACCACCTCAAGCAGGAGATCTCCAGGCTGGTGCGCGAGCGGGACGCCTACAAGGAGAAGTACGAGAAGCTGGTGAGCAGCGGCTTCCGAGAAAACGGCTCCAGCAGCGACAACCCGTCCTCGCCCGAGTTTTTCATGTGAGTCTGACCCGCGACCCCCGCTCGCCGCCGCGCGCCCGCCCGCCCGCCCGCCCGGCGCCCCGCGGGGTCCCGCCCGGGCGCGGGCTCGCTGGGGCCGGAGCCGGCCGCGCCCCCGCCCCCGCCCCTCCTGCGAGATCGCCCTCCTCCGTGGCCCCCGCACGCGCACACACGCGCACACGCGTGCACACACACGCACACACGCGCGCTCGCACACACGCTCTGCTCGGAGTTGGTGGTTGCGGTGGCGGCTGTTTTTTTAAGTTGGGGAGGGACTGGGTGTCTGACCGGCTCACGGATTGCCAAGCTGCAGTTCCCCTTCACTTGCTGGCTTGTTTTTGTTTTTTTGTTTTTGTTTTTGTTTTTTAAACTCCCCCCCCCCTTCCCCAACCCCAACATGCACAATGTTTAAAGATCCCAGCAGAGTTCTTCTTCGTGTGGAGCATTGCTCATCTTTTGAAGCCTGCATCATTCACACATAGGTTTTTTTTTTTTTTTTTTCCTTCTTCTTCTTCAGTTCAGGAGCTGGTGTTCATTTTCTGTGTGTGTGTGTGTTTTGTTTTTATTATTATTGGGGTTTTTTTTTTTTTTTTGTAAATTTTACTTTTTGGAGCTTGCTGTGTTGCCCTTTTCCCCACCTCCACCCTCACTCCCTCTCCACCCATCCACTCTGACATAAAAGAAAAAAAAAAAAAGCTAAGTTTTTTTTTTCCCCCCCTCCTGAGTTCTTCATGTGAGATTGAGCTTGCAAAGGAAAAAAAAAAAAAAATGTGAAATGTTATATAGACTTGCAGCGTGCTGAGTTTCATCGGGTTTTATTTTTTAGCACTGTCATGCTAAAATAGAGGAAAAAAAAAAAATCCTCATGAACCTGCCACAATCAAGCCTGCATCAACCTTCTGGGTGTGACTTGTGAGTTTTGGCTTTATGATGCCAAATCTGAGAGTTTAGTCTGCCATTAAAAAAACTCATTCTCATCTCATGCATTATTATGCTTGCTACTTTGTCTTAGCAACAATGAACTATAACTGTTTCAAAGACTTTATGGAAAAGAGACATTATATTAATAAAAAAAAAAGCCTGCATGCTGGACATGTATGGTATAATTATTTTTTGTTCTTTTTTTTTTTTTCCTTTTGGCTTGGAAATGGACATTCGAAGACTTATGGCATGGCATTCATACTTTTGTTTTATTGCCTCATGACTTTTTGAGTTCAGAACAAAAAAGTGCAACCCTAGAACCTTCTTCCCATGAAAGTTTGCATCTGCTCCAAAACTTCTTTGAGTTACTCAGAACTTCAGCCTCCCGTTGTAAATGCACTGAAGGCATTCCTTGTAAAAGATGCCAGGATGGGTTAAACGATTAACATGGCAAAAAAAAAAAAAAAAAAGATTAAAAAATAAACCTCTTTGTTTTTTAATAAGAATGACACCCCACTTTGGGGACTAAATTTGTGCTGTTGACTAAAGCAGTCTAAAATTTATTTTTTAAAAGAAGAAATCTGCCCCATTATTTTGGTTTGTTTTATTTTTATTATTATTATTAATTTTTTTTTTTTGGCTTTTGGTCATTGTCAAATGTGGAATGCTATGGGTTTCTAGTATATAATTTAATTCTAGTTTTTATAATCTGTTAGCCCAGTTAAAATGTATGCTACAGATAAAGGAATGTTATAGATAAATTTGAAAGAGTTAGGTCTGTTTAGCTGTAGATTTTTTAAAAGATTGATGCACTAAATTGTTTATTGTTGTGATGTTAAGGGGGGTAGAGTTTGCAAGGGGACTGTTTAAAAAAAAAGTAGCTTATACAGCATGTGCTTGCAACTTAAATATAAGTTGGGTATGTGTAGTCTTTGCTATACCACTGACTGTATTGAAAACCAAAGTATTAAAAGGGGAAACACCCCTGTTTATATCTGTAGGGGTATTTTACATTCAAAATGTATGTTTTTTTTTTTTTTTCAAAATTAAAGTATTTGGGACTGAATTGCACTAAGATTTAACCTGCAAGCATATAATACAAAAAAAAAAAAAATTTGCAAAACTGTTTAGAACGCTAATAAAATTTATGCAGTTATAAAAATGGCATTACTGCACAGTTTTAAGATGATGCAGATTTTTTTACAGTTGTATTGTGGTGCAGAACTGGATTTTCTGTAACTTAAAAAAATCCACAGTTTTAAAGGCAATAATCAGTAAATGTTATTTTCAGGGACTGACATCCTGTCTTTAAAAAAAAAATGAAAAGTAAATCTTACCACAATAAATATAAAAAAATCTTGTCAGTTACTTTTTTTTTTTTTTACATATTTTGCTGTGCAAAATTGTTTTATATCTTGAGTTACTAACTAACCACGCGTGATGTTCCTATGTGCTTTTCTTTCATTTTCAATTCTGGTTATATCAAGAGAAAGAATAATCTACAATAATAAACTGCATTTTTTTTTTGATTCTGTACTCAAGTTTCTTAGTGTACAGTTTAACTGGGCCCAACACTGCATTAGAAGTGTAAAACGCATCCTTTTCTCCACAGGAAGGATTAATGGAGGAATAGAGACGCAATAATTCAGGGAGAAACATAGTCTGTTTAGTAAGGCAGGAGGAGGCCAGTCCCTTTCAATAATTATTAGCAAGATTTAATATAAATGTAAATTATGACCTCCCAACTCTCCCCCCCCCACACACCAAAAAAAAAAGTTATCAGTTTTCAAATGAATTGAGCCATCATTGCCCTCCGTACAAACAAACAAACAAAAATTCCAACCAGAGAGCCAGGGTCTTGGCCCTGAGCTTCTGATTCAGCAGCAAGCCCATAGGGCTTGGAGAAAAAAAAAGAGGCAAGCCCATAGGCATAGTACAGGGGGCTTGGCACGTATGTGTTTAATGGTAAAGATAAACAGTTCTTGCGTGCATTTGATTATTTTTCCTTCTTCGGTTGCACACCATAATTTTCTTGTGAGCAAGGCCTGATAAGATTTAACATCAGCACTTTGGACAAATCAAAGTTGTGGTTTTTTTTTTTGTTTTAACTTTGAAGGTCATTTGTCTTAAATAGGAAAAAGAAAAATCCATCCCTTTACTTACAAACTCCAAGTACGTAACTGCTTAAAACTGTGCTGTTAAATCCTATTTCACTTTGAATATTTAGCAGAGGGTTTCTCCACTTAGACAAGCTGGTAATGATTTCAGATCACCTTAGCGCCAGAAATGCAAGCGAAAAATAATGCCTTGATGAAATAAAGGTTGTACTTTGATTTATTGGCATTTACCCCCCCCCAACAGGTGGTACATGGGGTCTAATCTAAAGATCACCGGGAAAGCCTTGCTAACAGCATTGACCTATTTTAAAATGACACAAACTGATGCACCTAATGTTACAAATTCATACAGTTTGCACTTTTGAAGTCAACTTCCCCAGAAGGCTAATAGAATATTAGACAAAGCCAGCACTGTTTTGAAAATACAGCCAAACATGGTGACTTTTGTTTTATTTTGGTTTTGGTTCTTTAAAAAAAAAAAAAAAAAGATAATATTGCAACTCTGAAGGAAGGCCTTATTTTGAAGAAAACAGGTTGTGCTTGGGCCTGACGAGTTGTGGCCAGTTTATCATCTTATCTTCTTTCCTTTTTCAAAGAACATGAAGATCATGTATATACCCTCTACATTTTAACCTTCCTTTATGTGCCGTTTTGGATATGGCTCTGAATGCACGTTTAATTTTGTTTAACGAAAGTCTTAATGGTAAACCTACTTCCATGTGCTAGAAGTTCAGTGTTCTCCTCTCTTTCAGAGGTATTTCCCCCCCTCTCTGATTCTATTCCAACCTGATTTGCAGCCTCCCCTGAAGAAGCAGAAATGGAGATATCACTTATATAAAACACATCAGATGAAAGGTTTTAGGCAAACACATTCTCAAAATAAGAGAGACATCCAGGATGGAGTTAGTGTGATTATCTCATGAGGAATGCAACTTGCGAGAAAAATACAGTTGTGCAACAATTAAGTATTTTGATAGGACCGTACAAGGCAGTTCAATGTAATTCGCAGGTTTGGGCCCCGGACATTAAGGAGCAGAGGGGCTTGGGTGGCTGACTTTAAGGGACAGGGACTCGAAGTGAAAGGCGTTTTTAGAAATAGCCACTACTTAAGAACTTTGAACTGTAGTGTGAGTAGTGATCACAAATATATGCTATCTTTTTTTCACAAAGAAATCCTTAATCTTGCCTAAGTACCCTTATTACAAATTACATTTGCCATAAGTCTCTAAACTAAAATAATAATAATGAATCAGCTAAGCAAATCTAGCTTTCCCTTTACACTACCTTTGAGTCTTTGTCTAAATAGTGTTAAAATTCCTTTCATTCCAATTACAGAACTGAGCCCACTCGCAAGCTGGAGCCATCAGTGGGATGTGCCACATTTTGGAAGCCCCATCAACGTGTCCTTACCAGTGTATTCACAAATTGACATTTATGTGTGAACTGTACATTAAAAATATATTATTATAACTATTATTTACAGTCATGGATCACAACCTGCCTCTGACTTCTGTTTAGTCTCCTTTTGAAAGAAAAATGATTGTGTTAGGGAAGAAGTCTATTCCATGTGTAACCTCCATACTGATTAGGTCGCCTCTTGTCGGAGGGGGGGTCGATACAGACCCACAGAAAGCTCACCTTAGCTACTCAGCTTACAGGACGCAGAACGGACAGGACTGACTGTTTCTAACAATCTGTAATAGTGAACGTGCAATCTTAGTTTCCAAATTCCATGGAAACTTAAAAGATATGTGTGTGCGTTTGTGCGTGCGTGCATGTAAATGTATGGACGTATATATGCACATACACAATCATAGGGAGGGGAGCTCCGGGAAAGTGACCGCTGGCATTTTTAAAGCCTCTGTAGACATGCACACTCTGAATAGTCCTTTTACTCGTCGTCATTTCTCTGGCAGTAATTTTACTAAGAAAAAAATACTAAGAAAAAAAATGGACTCCCCCCTTCCCCAAGCAGTTACTGTGGGCAGCAGCTTTCATCGGAGCCGGGCGCTAGGTCCTGGCTCTGTGATGTTAATTCATACTCATTTCTCAGACATCGTTGTAAATGCAAACAGTGCGTCGTCACAAAATGCAAAGTTACACACCTTCCCTGTGTTGCTTCCCCTCCCCTTGCTTCCCCGGATTCACAAAACCCCTTTAACTCCCCAGCTGCTGCTTGCACATTTCTTTTTTCAAAACCCGTGTGGTAATATTTTTTTTACAACGTGTCTGATACATTAATAAATTGACATCAAATAGGTAGACATTCTACTTCCTGATCTCAGGGAGGAAATGGTGTGTGTAGGTATCATAGTTATCTGCCTCAATGTTATAACCACCTGGGTCCTCTTTGCACACAGGCCGCCCCAGGGGGAAATACTCTATTTATTACTGAAAGCCTGATTCTAGCGCTGATATTTTTCTCCCTTATATCTTTACCTCCGTACTTAGCGGCATCAATTCTAGATCTGTTCTTAAATAGGACCTCCCATCCCCAAACCACCAGCTTTAAAGCTACAAGCAGTGAACAGAGGGCAAGTGGTTGCCATCCTCAAAAACCGGTGGGGCCCAATGTCTCAGCATCCCCAACTCACAGCATCTCCTTGTCTTAATCCCTGAAGTTGCTTCTCACACATTCAGGGTACAGGACCCTGGGAGGCTTTTGTCGTTGTGACTGTTTTTGTTTAGGCGGTTTACTTCCGTGTTCACACTGTCTTGGCTTTATAAAGTGTAACTCCCCCTGCATACTCGGCCAATCAATATATTTAAAAGTCTGCCTGCCACACAGGTAGCTCTGTTTGGCCTGTCAGTAGTTACAGACGGCAATAGGTTGGGTGACTAAAATATAGGAGTGACACAGCCTTCTGATCTCCGTGCCAGTAAAACACGCAGCCCAGCTCATGTCAGCGTGCAGTGGGAGGGAATAGGAAGCCAGACTCATCAGCTTCAGGGCGCTGATTTGCAAAGCTCCCCACTGTGATGTACTTTCATTTGATTAAAAAAAAAAAGTAATAACTTAGTCCCTTTCTTTGAAAAGTGTCTTTTATTTTTTAAGAGAAACTTTCTCTATAGTAATAGGCTATGATTTTTTTTTTTTTTTTTAACCACTTCGGATTGTTCCTTGTGTTGAATGAATAATGTGCCTGACCTGTTTTGAGGAAAATAAGAAAAAAAACCCAAAGTTTGTTCTCACTCTTGGCCCATCCTAAATCTAAAAGATAACCCAAGTCCAAGGCAGGGCTTTCAGTCACTACTAGGGAGGAGACCCAGGGTTCAGCCATCTGAATCAGAATTTGTTTGTATTTGCATTTGTCTGAAAACAAATGCCAGAATCTGTTTGTGTCTTAAACCACCTCTGGTAGCACTGCTATTTCTCATTTTTTGATACAAATCTTCAAAACCTTAACATCAGACAGCCCCAGAAAAGGGGACCTCTCTCCAAACATTGTTCCACCCCAGCTCCTCAACAAACCCAGCTCTGTGTAGCGTTTTTTTCTAGCGGGGGTAGGGGACAGGGTGAGAGAAGTTCAGTCTTCCAGGCAGTCTCATGATTATCAGGGCATAAAGGAGTACAGTCCAGCCACAATGTGGGAACATCCTCTACCCTTCAGAGGGGGACAAAACAAAAAACAAAGAAAATCAAATTGCTCTGCACGAAGGCGTAGCAAAACCCCTGGCCCCCAGTTCCTGCACCATCTGTGGGAGGTGAGAAACGAGGGACACTGGAGAGAGCCCTGAGGAGGCCCTCCAGGCTAGCGATAGTCCTGGTGGCTGGCCTGGATTTCACTCGCTCACTGGCTGAAGTCAGAGCCCTCACATAGGCCAGGTGCGAACGAGGTTCATGGTCCCTTTCTTTCCAATACGCCCGAGTGTCTTTCCTTTTTGAAAAAAAAATTTGAGAGAGCAAACCCCAAGAGAGAGATCTGGGGAAATTGTTAATGTCTTAACTTTGGGGGCACTTGTGAATATGTCACTCTGATTTTACGGGTGATGACATCTTGGCCCTGTCACCCATGTTATGCCACTATTTATGTGATCACCACAATAGGTTTGCGGCATCATGACAATTTTCATTGTTTAAATTCGAAAGCCTTTGTCTGTGTGTTTTCCATAAGTTTGCCCAATATAACAAGGCGGAGAGAAAAGGAACGCAGGAGCAGCATACAGAAAGCAGGTCTTGATGTGAATCTGTGTCCAAGTTTGAGCAGTTTTAAGAAACTCACAGAGCACATTTTCCACCGAGAGGCTGTGATTGGAATGCAGGGCTCTCACCCAAATCATGATCATTTTCTGAGCACCTCCTGCCTTATTCAGCAACATTCATCTTCTTTTCCTTTCTTTTTGTTAAGTAACATACCCCTCTATCATTTTTGGATTTCAAAATTACATTCCTCCCTTCTCCACAGATTCTGGGATTTTTACTTACGATTATCAGAAGGGGGTGTTAATTCAAGAGAGGAGGGTGAGGGAGGGGTGTCTGCCGAGGTTTGGGAAGAGGAGAGTGGGGAAAGGAAATGGCTGCATGTTCAACCCACACCCCTCTGCTGCCGCCAGCCTGGCCTGGGTGTGAGCGGCACGCTGGGGATTTGGGCTGAGTTTCCCTGTTCTGAGGATTCTGATCACCAACCTGTGTGTTTCCAAGCTAGGATTGCAAAGAACAGTTTTTCTTTGTGGGTGGATCTTTCAGTTAGGGAGAAGGAGAGGCCACGAAGCCTTACAGAGCTGAGTAGGAAGGAGTGAAAACAGCTCTCCAGAGGAGAGAATCCTCAACAAGGACAGTTATGAAGGGAACCCTGGGCTGAAAAATTCCACCAGCCGTATGGATTTCTATTTTGGCAGCCAAAATTTGCTCTGGTTTTACGTGACCTCATTCACTTCTGAAAGTGGGTTTCTGGCCTCCTTTTGGGGAGGGGGCTGTTTCTCCAGAAGAAAAGCAGGCCCAAGGATCCCGGGATAATGAGAGTGATAAACTGCACCCAGAGAAGCAGAGAACAGGAACCGGATGCTAGGATTACTGACAGAAGCCAACCTTGGCCTCGTAGTCAGGGGCAGCTCCAGGCTGTTTCCAGTGCCACTGCCTCCCACCAGAAATGATCCATGTGCAGAGTGACTTTCAAGCCACCAACAGCCCCCAAGATCCTGTGGTTCCTAAAAATAATATGATGTCTTAGCTCCAGGCCTTCAGGCTCTGTCAGAGTGGACCCCTATCTCGTCCCAGTGTCCTCTCCATAATTTTCAGCTCCTCTTTCTCCCATACAGGGTCACCCTGGGACATCAGAGAAACTCAGAGATCATTGCCCTCTGGCTAGAAGACAGTCACCGAAGTTCAGGCTTTGGAACCGATAAGTCACTTCTGCCCCAGTTTAAGTGTAGACAAAAACAGGGATGGGAAGAGGGGATGAGGAGGTGCTTCCACAATATTCTAAGGCTGACTGGAGCATCTGCTGCCAAGAGTCTCACAGCCTGGATAAAGGAGGTGCATGTAGGCAGGATGCTAAGGTCCCCCCCTTGCCCAGTTTCCATGCACTCCCCAGCCCACCCCTGTCTGTATGTACATTTGCTTTTCGGGGCCCATCACTGCCCCTTTGGGCCTGGTGGCTGGGATGAGGCTGCCAGGTGTGCTTTTACCCCAGGGGTCCCGGGCCTGGCTGTAGCAGCTGCCTCAGGCCACCGGAAAGTCCCTATAATCCCTGCCTGTGGTGCCAGGCCAAAGCTCGGCCCTACCTTCTTGTCACAGAAAATCTGTCATTTGGTTCTTCTTTGAGAAGCCTCAGAAGCTGCCTGGCACCCGAGCGTGCTCACTGCTGCTATATCCAGCACACTGGGGGCTCTACATCCACCAGGTGCCCCAGCCCCTGCAGGGGACTCGGACTCGTATTTGTATGGGAATTTGCTTGCTGTTTTCCAAGAAGATGACCCCGACCAGAGTGGATTTCCCGGGGACAAGGAAACTGACTACCTGCTGTGCTCTGCCCCCAGGTGTGCCCCGATGAGGAAGCAGGTTCAGCTCTAAGAAGCTTAGCCCTTCACCTTGGTTCCCCCATCCCCGCTGAGAGCCATCCCAGGAGCCTTCTGTCAATAAGATCTTGGGCTTCAGGACATTTGATTTTTACTCTATTAATTTTCTGGCCCATTTTCCAGATCTGTCTTCTTTTTCTCCCCCCCTGCTCTGGTTAGAGGTGAAGTGAGGAGAAAAAAAAAGAAAGAAAGGGAAGGAGGGAATCCAAATGGTATGCTTTTAAATCTTTATAGAAAGCTCAACTCGGTTGGGGTTTTCCATGGTACAGTTTGATGCTCCATATAAAAGAAAGCCAGTCAAAGAAACTTAGGATGACATGTTCAGCTCTGGCATGGGGGCCGTGCTCGCATTTCCAGATGTAACGTAGTTCCAATCACATTGAAGCCCCTCGGGAATTGTCTTAAGAGGACTAACTTAAAAGCACTAATTTCTGAGGCTCTCTGTGTAGGAGCTTTTCCTTACAGGAACCCTTAGTTTGGGAGCTCCCAGAGTATGGAATACTCCTTCGACTCATGTCATTGACACTTCTTAAATCAACCTTCGTTCTTTCCCCCTAGGAAAGGGCTCATTAAAGTGCAGATAAATATGTTGACACTAAAACAATGATCTCAGCATCTGAGATGCTTTTATACTGTCAGATTAATTTAAAATCCTTTTTGATTCTTAGATTCAATCTTTTAAAAGGTGACATTTGACCTCTCCCTTTTCAGGCAGTGAATGCAACATGTTATTTCATCTGTAGTGTGTTTACTTATTGATCTGTCTGTCTGTCTGTCTACCTATCTGTATTTATTTATGGAACCCTTTAAAGTAACACATTATGAAGGGTGAAGCTGTTAAAAGATAAATCTGCAATGTCCACATTATGAAATAAATAGGATCCCACAGCAGAGGAATGAGGAAGTCTACTCCTTACCTTGGTCGGCAGGGGCAGAACCAACACATCTGTCTTAGAATGATCTTCCCATAAAACCTTCTCCAGAGTTGGGGTGATCGGGGCATCTCCAGATACAACTGACCCTCTGTGCCTCATTTTCAAGCGCACTGTCCGTGTTAATTCCCTGTACTGTGTGGATAAAACCCGTTAAAATCTTCCTTGGAATATCATGGCATACATAGTCTGACGCTATTTAAAAAATATACTATTTAATCATTAGGTAAACAGTTCCAACTGTAAGAAGCTCTGCTGGCAGATGAGTGGCTTGGATTACACCATCCATCATGGCCCAGCTCCAAAATCTTCTCTCCCACCCCCAAGTGAGGCTCTTTGCCCCCTCAGAACCTCCCCCATGAGTTGTCTGGGTGGAGTTGAGAACATGGAAGCTGCAATGGCTTTTGGACTCTATTCAGGTGTACAAATAGAATCTCTCACCCCCCCCTTAAAAGTAAATGCTTTGATAATAGGATGGGTTCCCCAGGTGGCCAGAGAGTAGAGGTCATCTTGAGGAAAATGACACCAATGATCTAAAAAGGACATCTACTTTATGAGATATCAGGCAAGATGCCAAATATCACATTTAATGAGGCCTGATTCTTTTTCTCCAAAAATAACAGAGACTCTCAGTGCAATGGTCAGGAAGGCAAAGGGGCATTTTGCAAAGCCTACCTTCAATTATTGCTTTGTAATATTTTTCTAAAATTGAAAAATGCTTCACAAGTATATGATCTCATGTAAATATTCCTTGCAGAAGCTTAACATATGTTTGCAATGCCCCAGAGGAATTACAAAAATATTCTTTGTACAATCTCTTAAACTTTTAAACTCTATATACTTGTGTTTCTAAAAGAATTACTGTTTCTAATTTTTTTCTAAAGTAACTTAATATGGGACCTTATATGGGAAGGTTTTTTTGGGATTAGATTAGCCACTTGAACTTCTAATGGGGGACAATTGATATTGCTGATAACACTTCCAGGTTTTATAACTTCAGTATGTTTCTTGTTTCTTTTTTGTTTTCTTTTTGGCATAGAAATAATATATTTGGCAAAAGATTAATGTGTACTAGTACACGAAAAAGTAATTTGGACCGTAAGGTTTCAAGTGCATTTCTAACATGAAATGTGAATGAAGGCACTTAATGATTTGGGCACATAAAGAGTACATATCTGTTTAGCCCAGTGTTTTAATGAATAGTTAGACCATTTAGATAAAGAACATGTGAAATAATTAAAGAGCTATGCTAAATGCAAATTTCAGTAAAGAAAGATCCCGTGCTTGGTTACAGCAGCCTACACATTTCAGCTTATTTGATCACACCACTTGGAGAGTAATCCAAATAAAAGTGTAGGGGATTACTGAAAAGTAACTGAATATCCATGTTGGAAAAAAATTAGATTGACTTACTAGTTTTTGTACACAGTTATTGTATACAGATTTGCTGGAACCGTGTTGAATTTTTAAAATTAGATTTTAAATATATTTTGACAGTCTGAACTTGTGTAGTGTGACTAACTATAGGGAGAAATGACAGGTCTGCTTTGTTATTAAACTGCTGTCTGGAAAATATTGGACTCCATACAGTAAATGATAATTATTTTGCCACTTACATTAGTACAGCTAATAGCAATGAGGGTTTTTTGAACCATAGAAAGCTAACTACTTTGAATTACTGTGCTTTATTATTCACTGTGAAGCAAAAAGACTTTTTTTTTTTAAAGCAACCTCATTTTCATATCACCATTTGAAGCATCCCTTGCTACTAATTTAAACAGAGAGGAAGTTAATAAATAAAGGGGTGGGATCTAAATGGTTCTATTTGTTAAGAGGACATTTGCAATTAAGGTCAGCGGTACCAGTAGAACAGACCAGAGCGAAAGCAGAGGAGGGAGACCAATGGAAGAGAATATGTCCCGGGCAGGTGCAGGGAAGGCTGGACCAGTTTGACTCTCTGCAGGATAGGCCGCTTGTCTAGGCTGCAGAGACACCCCTCCCAGGCCTCTTCAAGTCCCCCTTGGTTCTCTTTGTGCTGAGGACAGCTTCACAGCTGATCCAGGTTGCTAGACCAGCGGGTGTCACTCTCTCATCCTCCATGGGGTCAGAGCTGCAGCGACCTTGTATTCCTCACCATTCTCTTCCATGTGACCCCTCCTCTGGCAGGCCGGAAGCCAGGGTGCCAAAGAAGGGCAACTAAAATCATTCTTCTTTGAGCCAAATTCTGTCTTTTTCATAGATAGTCAGATTGCCTTTAACATACTGTCCTTGAAACCCTCTTCGTGGTTATTAATTACCCTTTGTTTATCTTAATATATTTACTAAATCAGGTACCCAAGGGAATCCTCTACATCAGTGATGTGAAAAATCCTGTTGCCTGAAGTCAAAGAGGTACATCTTGATTTCTGATTTGCATGTGCTTGTTTCAGTGAGTTTTCCTGAATGGGGGAAGCAAGCAAGGAATGCCGATAATTCTTTAAATGTGAAAAACTCTTGCTTTAGTTGTTTTAGTATTTGGGATTCATATGTAACATCAAGGTGGTACTAGAGAAATGAGACAATTTAGTTGAAAACTAGCATACCCATCCCAGTTTTTGTATTTATTTCCATCCATGGGTATGGTGTACAGAACAATCCAGTTTGAGTAGGTCTCAGATTTTTAGCTATATATATATATATATAGAGAGAGAGAGAGAGAGAGAGAGACAGACAGACAGACGCACACACACGCACTCACAGACCTACTCCTTCTATTTGAATGTCAGATAATTTGGGTGAATCTGTTCCCCTAGCATTCATGACCCTTAGCCAACTTTACCTGGGTCTAGTAAATATTGTAAATCTACCACCTCTTGTAATTCACTCCACACTCACATTTGGTGTGATTGCAAAGCACAGCATGTCCCCCCACTTCTGTGTCCAAATGAGACTTTAGAGTCACTCCCCCTTCAACTGTAGGCAGAAGAGGAGCGGAGGAGATGGGTGGGAGGCATAAACCTGATTTTCATCTGCTAAAAAAAAATGAAATTAAGCTCCTTAAATGGGTTTTCAATTACAAGTATCCCAGTGTGAATTTAATTATGAATCCTCTTCGTTTAGAGAGCTAGAACAACACTCTTGCACCAATAATTATTTAGTGTCATCATTTTATGCATTCTTGCTACCTCTTATTGGTTAATGGAAGGAATTTTTTTTTTTATTAAAAATTTTGCTTGCTGAGAAATTTGCATGAAATTCAGTTTTGGGTTTCTAGGGAAACTGAGGAGGGGGGCAAAAGTCATACTGTCACATTGCTACTCTTTGCAAAGGAAAGACATTTTAAGGACCCAGTGAATTGAGTGTCGGAAAACAGAAGCCCATTTTCCCCACTCTTCAGAAATAGTGCTTTCTCCTCTCTGTTGCTGTTAGGAGTCTTTCAGTAACTGCATTGTGAATATTTAACATGATTTCGTTCATAGCTTTATATGAAATTAACCTTTTCCTTAATTGTTCTGGCACATAGATTTTATTTCAATATATACCTTTGAGATTAACTTGAATGTCTGTGTGTATGTGCATGCAGTACCTATACTTTATTCCTTTCTTTTACCCCTGTCTTTATAATTGCAATTTGAAAACCATTTATTAAATATGACAATCAAGGCCAACCAGCGGGTTTTGTTACATTGAAACCATCCATTTGGAGCAAAGAATTAATGAACTTTTAAGGCAAGGTCCACATGGACCCAGACCCCCCTGGTAATATTTCATATGAGGTCACTGGGGGGAAAGAAATCAAATTTCAGCTGTGAACATGATTGACAGGTGAGAGCAAGGAAGGGAAAGGCATTTGGCCAGATGGGGAATCTGGAGGAGGAAAATTATTCAAAGTTACTGTGTGTTATTAGATATTATAAGTTGATACATGAAAAGTTCAATACTTGATACTTTTGGGAGAGTTCCTTAGTTTATTTTCTGAAAGTCACTTTGGTGAAGTGATTTCATTAGGGGAAGCCAAAAATGGGGAACCACTAGCTTTCTTCTCTCTGGCTAATTTCAACTATGTACAACTTCGGCACTTATTTCTGGCAATTTTCTAGACTACGGTATAGAAATTAAATCTCAGACCATTTGGGGAGCCTATAATTACCTTCCTTCCATTCATTCATTCTGAGAAACACAGTCTAGATTATATTATAGTTCTTGGGCATATTGCAAAGTATTTATCCTAAGTGGTATTGCAAAAGATTTATTCTCCATTTCTATAGCATCCCTTTGATCCTGACTAACATTTCTCATTAGTGCATGTTACAGCTTAACTTATGCAAATCTGCCAAAATGCACGAAAGGTCTTTTAACATTGATGATCAACAGAGACATTTGTGTGCTGCTGTTTGATGTACATTTTCCATGTAGCATCTCTAGATAAGGTGTGATGTTGGCATTGTTGCCATGGAAACAAATGATGATGTTACTTGACCCTGATACCAAGGGTGGCTTTGGGATTCACCTTAGAGGCTGTCTCTTAGCTTGAAGTATTTAAAGGAGATAACACAACTACCCATGATTTGCACAGGAGTTGAAAGAAAATAAGCCTTCAAAACAAGTTCTTTCATCTTGCCGAAGGTGGTGCTGGACCTCCGCCTGCTCATATCTGTGCTCTGCCCATTTCAGATGTTCCTGCCATTGGCTAAGACCCATCTGGATGCAACCAAGCCTTACACAGCTGCCTCGCGGCAGGGCAGGTGGGGAGCATATGTAGGGGACAGACCCCTTTGTAGATTCCCTGTCACCTATGGAGAAGCTGATGGAACTTGTTTAAATAGTACTTCTCGGGGTCTAAATATGCATCAGTTTTGTTTGTTTTCTAGTCTTATGATTAGCTGAGTGGACATGTTTTATCTTGACAATACCTAAACTGATTTGACTTCAAACACATATAAGGAAGGCTTTATTATTTTATGAACTGAGGTAAAAACCAAATTAATAAATAAGTAACCCCAGACAGCAAAAGTACTGAGAAATCTTGTTTCTATTTTGTATAATGTACCCTCTCATGTTACCCATCTTCATCCACAAATAAAATGCAAGCATGATTTCCTGATGTCCAGTGTTCACGCAGGCGCCCGGGATGGCTGTTTACTTCAAAGGTAAAGATGTCCTTCGCCCTGTTTCCCTTGCAGAGTCCTTCAGAATGTTTTAGCAGAAGTGATGAGGCAGGTTTTCTCATGCAAAGGACATGTGAAACTCAGACTCTAAGTTCTGATTTCTTGGCGCTTCTGTTTGAGAAGCCCAAGTGAGACTAGTGTCTGGCTGTGCCTCTGTTTTCTGCAAGCCCTTCAGGGCTTCTGAACACTCAAGTTTTAGAGTAAGCCCCCTAACCCCCAAGGACAACAAGGAGTAGAATCTTGCATGCAGATTTGGAGCTCGGACCAACCCATCACAAGTTCCAGGAGTTATGTCTTATGCAAATTACATCCATGGATTTGCCGGCACTGAGAAAATAAGGGGAACTAATTCTATGTAAAGTGTTTTATTATTGGACTTACCTGTTTGTTTGTTTGTTGTTGTTGTTGTTTATTTAGATTATACTCCTGTCTAAACACCACCATCCCACCCCTTCCCACACAAGACTGCTTAATGTTCTGTCTGTGGGCACTGGCCCACCTCTGAGCTGATTCAGTCAATTCATTACTGCAGCGCGTGCATGGTGACTGGCCTCTGAGGCCGTATGAATTCATACTATTTTCAGTCAATCCTAGGAAACTATGAAGGGGTTGACTTAAAGACAGAAACAGTACACATTAAAACAGAAGGAAGAAGGGAGTTTTGCGACAGTACAGCCCTCATTATTTAAAACCAAATGATGCTTCTGTAAAGAACTTTCCTTGTAAAAGCACATATTCAGTCACCTGTCAACATCTCAGATTTACTGCTGCTGTTCACAGATGCCAATGTTTAAACTCTCTTCACCTGCCGCGTGCTGTGCTGAGTCTTTCATTTCCTCAATCCAAAAATTACTGTAACGTTGTTGTTGAGTGTCTGCATTTTTTGCTTTTCTTGGCAACTAATGAAATTATCAGCAATAAATGAGCTAAGCAGAAGGGTTGGTTTGGTTTGGTTCTCTTTTTTTTTTGTCTCCTTTTTGCAATATTTGGAAAATTCTGGACAAGGGTAAGCCATTGGGGGAATTCAGTGCTCTTCTCTTTCCAGCATCTACAGGAAATATAATAAAGCCGTTAGCACTTGGATCATTTCAGATGGGAATTAATGCCACATGGGGGAAGGGGAGAAGCCGTTGTAGGTGTTAGGTGGGAAGTCAGACCAGCTGTGGGAATTACAGGTGTTATCACTGGAGACAACACAGCCACTGTGCAGTGATCTCAGGGTAAGATGCTGGAGGCTGTTAACACCTATTACCAACCTGGGGGCGTAACCCACAAGGGTGAAGTCAGAACAGAAGAGAAGGGAAAGGGAGAAAACTGGCTGGGGTCTGCTTTCCCTTTTCCCCTTGCAAATATCATCTAATAATATGTTATTCCGGCAGCCAGGGACGATTTCTTTTCAGTCATTTCAGTCTATTTAAAAAAATAAAGTTCATTTGCTAGCAAGTAGGCAAGTGGAGGTGAGAATTGAATTGATCTGAAATTGGCCCTGAAGTTACACCTCCTTTAAATTGGGATCTATGGATAAAATTTCTTTTCTTCTGCCTTGGCTCCTGCCAGCAGCAGAGTTGATTTGGGGTTTGTAATTATTTAAAGGAATTCTAACGCCAGGGTTGACTCCCCCCCCCCCCGTGTACCCAAATTAATCAAAAGAGACCTTTTGTTACCAGTGGTAGTTAATTAAAGGGCTTGAGTCTGTACTGCCATAGTGTGTCTCTGGCATGTTTATATTTTAAAATGAGGTTCGTTTCTGATGTTCAGGAAGTGGGGAGAAACTTACATGGGGCTCTCTTATAGGCTGAAAAAAATAAGAGAATAGAATTTTCTGTTTGCTTTCTTTATGCCTTTTCCATATCCCTCCCTTTAGGGAATAATAAGAATCTTATCAAAAAATCTTAAGGTGTCCATGATACATTTAGCAGCTCTGGAGTCAGGCATGCCATTTTTGAAGGCCATGCAAGTGTGCTGGAAGGGCTGCGGGCGCTGCTCTCCTCTCTGCAGTATGGATGGCAAGAGAGATCAGAAATCCCTTCACCCGTGTTGACCTGTTTGACCCAAGGGAAGAACTGCTTGCTCATTCTTCGCTCCAGTGGGTAGTACATACTTTCAGTTCTGTCCTGATGCTCAAAGTCTATTTTGTTTAGTTACTGGTTTCCCCCACAGCTTTAATTTATTTTTATTTTTTCTTCATGTAAACCCGAAAGCAGTTTCTCACCATTGCCTAATGGAAGGACGGTGCAGAGGGCA